TGCCTCACCCGGGAAGAGCACAATGATGGTGCCAACTTGGGCCAGTGAAGCAACGTCCTCCACAACTAGACTGAAGAACAAAATGACAGCAACTTGTCTTTTTCCCTTCCCCCAATTCCCCAGCGCTGTTCCCATCCCCCCAATTCCCCGATAAAAATCTTTAAAAAAAACATAATGAAGAAAATATCTGGGAATGCTTACAAGTGAGAACTCATTAAATCCTCCCAAGTAATTATAACAACAACGACAAAGAATCATGGCTCATTCTCTAAATCCACATATAGTATGTCAAGAAGAAAGTAATCAAGGCTTCGCATTCCAAAACAATAGCAGAGTAGAATTTTTTTGAAGGATCTTTCATGACTTTCTCTTTAGAGTCATCACCCTGTTTCAGAGATTTACAGAAGTGTTAACATACCTTACTAAACAAAAATATGTCAGAAAAATAAAAACTAATTTCCCTCATTTTCTCCTTTGATCTTCATTTTTCTCCAGGATCATGGACCCTGTGGAGCAGGTTCTTCCAGTTTCCCTCAGGGGCCAGCACGCTGCTACCCCATGTGGGAGGAGCCAAGACTTGGACTGTTCTAACTGCACCAGTTTCTAAGAGTGTGGGGCTCATACAAAGTAGGCAAAAAACCTCCTTCTTTGACTGCTGTCCCTTTTTAATTTATTTTTCCAATAGGGTTTAAATTAAAACAAAAAAACAGAATTGTCAAAAAGTGGCTTTTAAGTAGTTTTACTGAAGCTCAATTAAAACATGAAGCAGAAAAGTCCAGAATCTAACTCATTTTTCAACCCGTGTCCTCAAAGTATTTGTTATTGAATGATGAATGGCTAGGGTATGGGGAGGGGATACAGAAGTGCTCTGAGGTGAAAGGCAATGTGGCTAACTTAAGCAGATGAATGAAGAGGGCAGAATCAGGTCAGTCAGGAAGGCAGGCTACCAGCCTAGAAAAGGAAAAACATTAGAAGACAGAAAAAAGATACTAATTTAAGCCATGTTGCCAAACACTGGATATGATATAGCCTCTATTGATTACTGATAAGATGAAAATGGGAGAATTACCCATTTGTTTGTTTTTTAATTACTGTTGTAATATGTTGTGGTCAAAGTGTAGATTGGGAAATAAAATGTAAAATCTAGAAATAAAACAGGGAAAGCATAAGAATAAAGTATCCTTATTTCTAAACATTGCCATCTGCTCTTCAGTCAAAATTATATACAAATCGTTCACGTGGTGTTTAAAATGTAATGAAAAAATATCCTCTTTGCACTCACTACATCAAGTTTTAGTCAATTAGTTAGTATCAAAAATAAGACTTATTTTAGTACCAAAAATAAATATTATCACGTTTAAACAATTAAATCTCTAGAAAAAATTGAACTTTAGATTTCTGGAATCAATTCCTTTGTCACTTCAGAAATATACATTTTTGTGCTCTTACACATTAATGTGAGTTAAGAGTTCTACAGGAGGAAACATAGTGTAGTAGAAACTTGATGGAGCTCTCCACGCCTCTGGAGCTAGGTGGGAGATGTCTGCTGAAAGACAAGCTTACAAATCGGGAGAAAATAGGCCAAGAGAATGAAAGAATATTAAAGCACACTTTTTAAAAAAAATTTTTTTTTTTGGCCTCTGCTCTGTATTGATTACTGTAATAAAAGGGACCTTTACAAATATAGGATCTTTTTTTCCTTCCATAGAGGATTTCATAAGAGAACAAAAGGAGACAAAGTCACCCATGCTAGAGGATCTTCTGGCTGCGTTCTCTTCCGGAGTACTCTTTCCTTATCTCAGATAGAGCTGTCTCTGGGGATTACCTGTTTAGATTTAGAAAGGTTTAGCTCAACCTTTTTAGACTGTCTTCAGTAAGGCATTTAGCTCGTTTCTTTAGGGATAATCCACAGCTTTCCAGAAGGGAGCGGAAGAAAAACATTTAACAGCCACTGAGCTCTGTCTCTGCTCCACCTGTATGTAAACTGTCACTAGAGTGACACTTCAGCCTCTTACACTGCGATGTTCTATACATTCTGGAATGCGTTCAGGCTTCTGGGCTGAGGGAGCTGGCTAGCATCTGAGCTTCTGCATCTTTGCCTCTGCACGCCTCAGATGTGAATTCTCTCACTGAAAAAAACAGATGGTGGTGTTTCAAGCCACCACTTCCAGTGGAAAGGTAGATGTGAAAATAAAAGAGAGCCTGGGGAAAACTGCGGGGTGTGAGAGGGACCTACCATTTGAGCTCAAAATAAAATATGAATGAAAACAGGCTTATGGTGGACATTTTCTGTACATTACCTAATAGGAGAAAATAATAGTTACATAGACTGGTTGCAAATATTTTCAGTCCAAAAGGAGAACAACAGCACTGTTTTCTCTCTGAAGTGTGTCCCTTTTAAAACCACTAGATATCAGGATAGGGTCACCTTCACCAAACCAGAGACCAGTGAGATTCAACTATCAAATCTGAATTGCATAATTTCTCCCAGAAAATACTGTCCAACTCCTGACAGCACAGTATAAGATACATGAACTTATTCAAAATATATTTTATAATTACATTGGTAAACCAAGTCTTAGGAGGTATTATTCATGCCTGAACTATGAAAACTGGCTAGAAAGTCACTATATATTTTATTAAATTTTGAAAGCAGCTTAGAGAACAGAAATAGTGTCTAACATTTACTTCAATAGAAAAGGCAGAATGTGGAGAAAAGGGGGGGAAGATGATGTGATTTGAATATATTACTGCAAAACTGAATATATTACTGCAAAAATGATATAACCAAATATTTGCTTTGAAATAGATAAGGACATGACTAATGCTATTCTAGTGTTTGGGAACATCTAAGGAAGAACTAAAATCTCCTTTATGTGCATTCCAGAGACATCACAGGTATGTCTCATTGGACATGACAATCCTATTCAGTGCAATATCTCCCCTTGAAAAGTGTTTCTGAAGTTAGATTACAAAATGAGCCGCAGTGTCTTAAAGTGAAATTTGTAATTAGTCGTTGAAATTAGAATGTCCTAAATGTCATCCAGAAGATTTCACCCAGAAAATTCTTTCCATGATTACTGGTACAAGACAGAGTCCATGCAAATACTGAGGAGCTACTTATTAAAGACAATAGCAGGAGTACCTAAAAAGACCAGTTTCTGGTGAGAATCTTTTTTCCATGTATTTGAGAACCACACGTAGTCATAGTTATACCCAGAAATAAAGAAGGTGAAGCACTCAAGACCCATGAGCCAAAAAAATGCATATTTGCAATTGTAAGTACAACACTGAAAAAAATACCAGTAAGGGACCATAAGGTGGCTTTATTTCAGTAGATTAGCTCTAAATCTGCAAGATGTTCTCAAAAAGAGCAAAGAACTGAGGATATATTTAAGAGATGATATATAGCTAAGAAATTATAGGAAAGCTGTAAATTCATAGACATTTTGCAAGAGTGATAAACTCTCCTTACTCGTACCACTCACCATTTAATTTTAACAACACTAAGAGGAAAAAAAAAAGAAAGCCAAGTTCATACAAACATAAAATATCCAGGCATCTTTTCTTAAATTCCCCCACAGTAGCCCTAAGACAGAGTAAAACTGTAAAACATCATCCACTGATGTTAATAGCAACTATTCTAGAATGGATATGTTTGTGTTTTAATGGTCGCATTTTGAAAGTGACTTCATCTCCTACCCTCTCTTCCTCAGTGTCTTCCTTCAACATTCCAAGCACATTCCCCACTCAAAGCCTTTGCTTGCCATTTCCTCCGAATAAAACACTCTCTCGGAGATCCAAGATGGCGAAATACATAAACACTGCGACTGCTTCCTTCTGTGAATGCATTAAAATTACAACTGAATTATAGAACGTTCAACCTGGAGAACCATCTGAAATCTGGCTGAACAGAAGTTTTATAACTAAGGATATAAAAAAGCCACATGGAGACTGGTACGAGGGATGGAGACATGAAACAGGCAAGCCCCAAACCTCCATGTGGTGGATGAAAATTGGGAGGGGTATCTCGGCCGCAGAGGTTCCCCCCCAGAGGAGCGAGGGACTGGACAGCCACACCAGGCTCCCCAGCCCAGAGTACTGGTGCCAGGAAGAGGAGCCCCCACAACAACTGGTTGCGAAAAACAGTGGGGATTCTAACAGTATGGGTGGGACGGGAGGCTGTGGGAAACCCAGGCGTCCTTTTAAACAGCCTGCGCACAAACTCTGCCACTCACAGGCACTCACCGTGGGCTCCAGCGAAGGGATGATGACTCGAGAGGCATTGGAGGCATATGAGGGGGGCTGAGGTCTGTGGCTTCAGGGCAGGACTGGAGGACAATCACCATTTTCCTGTGAGATCCTCCTGTGCAGCCAGCAGGTGGGCTCCATTTTTCCTGTGTTGAGCCTGCCCCCACAGGGCAAATCTGAATCTGATTGGCCTAGTGAGCTCCACTGCCCTATTCTGCTGACTCACTGAGAACCCGCCCTACCCAACTTCCCCAATGCCAGAGGCACTTTCTGGTGAGCAGCAAGCCCTGCCCACATTGCACTCTCTCTTGGAAAACTATCAGGATCCCAGGTGGGCAGTGGCTGGCCTCTATGTGCTCTGAGACTTTTGCTGAGTAGCTCCAGGCTCAGCACTGGCACCAAACCAGAGTCTACATTAACCTGGTGACCACAATTCTTCCCACTCTAGTGATTCCCTGAGACCCTGTCTCACCCGACTTGCCTACCACACGAGGCTTTACCAGTGGCTGAAACTTAAGGGAGCCAGCAGGTGGCAGCAGGCCTTGGGGTGTCCTGGCTTTTTGTGGAACTACCCCAGGACTGGGACTGGTGGTAGCCATCCTTGGTTTGCAGTGTGTCCTCTCCTGTGTGCCTCCAACTTTAGCACAGACAGTGAACAACTGTGACTAGCTTTATAGCTCTTACCAGGTAGTCCCCAGCTGGTCACAAGCAATGGTGACCTGGGCCTGCACCAGACCCCTCTCAGGAGGCCCCAGAACAAACATACCACAGCACAGCAATGCCTAATTAGCCCCATAAGTGGAACACAAAAGAGAGGTCTCAACAGGTATCAGAGCCCACTGGGGTGAATCCCACTTAGTGGAGTAAGCTCACCCACAGCAGCCTATAAGCCATGGAAGTGGCCAAACCTCACAGCCAATCAGCCTGAGGGCTAGTCCCACCCATTGATGTGCCAACAGCAATCAAGGCTCAACAGTAACAGGACGGCACACACAATCCACACAAGAGACACTCCTGGGGCATTCAGAGCAGGTGACCATGGAGACTGTGCCAGGGCCGCACAGGACACCTACTACATAAGGCTACCCCGCTGAGACTAGGATACATAGCAGATCTACATAATACATAGAAACAAACACAGAGAGGCATCCAAAACAAGGAAACAAAGAAATACATCCCAAATGAAAGAACAGGAGAAAACTTCAGAAAAAGAACTAAATGGAATGCAGGCAAGCAACCTACCAGATACAGAGTTGAAAACAATGATTATAAGGATGCTCAAGGAACTTAGTGAGAATTTCAACAGAGAGATGATAAGCATAAAAAGGGCACAGGAACCATAGAAAAGAACCACTCAGAAGTTAAGAATGCAATAACTGAAATGAAGAATGCACTGGAAGGAATCACCAGCAGTCTACATTAAGCAGAGGATCACATTAGTAATTTGGAAAACAAGGTAGTATAAAACACTCAATTAGAACAGCAAAAAGAAAAAAAAAATGAGGATAGGTTAAGAGACCCCTAGGACAATGTCAAACATAACAACATTCGCATCATAGGGGTTCCAGAAGGAGATGAGAGAAAGTAAGGGATTGAGAACATATTTGAAGAAATAATGACTGAAAATTTTACTAACCTGGTGAAGGAAATAGACATACAAGTCCAGGAAGTGCAGAGAGCCCCAAAAAAGGTAAACTCAAACAGGCCTCACCAGGATATATTATAATTAAAATGACAAAGGTTAAAAACAAAGAGAGAATCCTAAAAGCAGCAAAAGGAAAGCACCTAGTAACTTATAAGAGAGCCCTTATAAAATTGTCAGCTGATTCCTCAATAGAAACTTTGCAGGCCAGAAGGGACTGGCACAAAATATTCAACATGATGAAGAGCAAGGACCTACAACCAAGGGTACTCTAACTAGCAAAGCTATCATTTAGAATCAAATGACAGATAAAGAGCCCCCCAGACAAAAAAAAAAAAGCTAAAGGAGTTCATCACCACCAAACCAGTAGGAATGTTAGAGGGACTCCTTCAAGATGGATAAAAAGAAAAGATCAAAATTATGAATAATAAAATGATAATAACTATATATCTATCAGCAATTACTTTCAATGTAAATGGATTAAATGCTTCACTCAAAAGACATAGGTCTGAATGGATAAGAGAACAAGACCCTTACATATGCAGCTCACAACAGACTCACTTCAGATTGAAAGACACACACACAGACTGAAAGTAAAGGGATGGAAAAAATTATTTCATGAAAATGGAAACAAACAAAAAAGCTAGAGTGGCAATGCTTATACATGACAAAACACACTTGAAAACAAAGACTATAACAAAAGACAAAGAAGGACCCAGTAATCCCACTTCTAGGTATTTATCTGAAGAAACACAAGTGCTACTTTGAGGAGACATGTTCATCTATATGTTCATTGCAGCACTGTTTACAATGGCGAAGATGTGGAGGTAGCCTGGGTGTCCATCGATGGAAGAATGGATAAAGACGAGGTGGTACATACATGCAATGGAATATTGCTCTGCCATGGAAAAGAATGGGTTCTTGCCATCTGTGGCAGCATGGATGGACATGGAGGGTGTTGTGCTGAGTGGAGTGTCAGACAGAGAAAGACAGGTGCTATGTGATTTTGCTTATATATGGACTCTAAAGAACAAAATAAACAAAAAGAACAGAAACAAACTCAAAGACACAGAAAATATTTTGATGGTTGCTAGATGAGAGGCAGATTGGAGTATGGATGAAAAAAGGGGAAAGGATTAAAAAGTACAAATTGGTTGTTACACAGTAATCATGGGGATTTATAGCATAAGGCATATAGTCAATAGTATTGTAATAACTCCGTATGGTATCAGAGGGGTACTAGATTTATTGGGGTGGTGATGGGAAGGGGTTGGGGGGCAGAGTGAAAAAGGTAAATGGATTAAGAAGTACAAATTGGTAGTTACAAAGTAGTCAAAGGGATGTAAAGTAAAGCACAGGGAATATAGTCAATAATATGGGAATAACTATGTAAAGTGCTAGGTAAGTACTATACAAGTCAGGGGGATCACTTCTTAAATTATATAAATGTCTAACCACTATGCTGTACTCCTGAAATTAATATAAAATAATGTTGAATGCCAACTGTAATTGAAAAATTAAAAAGTTCGGGGAGAAGGTGAAGGGCAATAAGTGTTCCAAATTTCCAGGTATAAAACAATAAGTCATGGAGATGTAATGGATAGCATGGGGAATATAGTCAATAATATTGTGATAATGTGGTACGGTGTCAGATGATTGCTGGACTTATCATGGTGATCACTTCTTTAGGTATATAAATGTTGAATATGGTGTACCCCTGCAACTCATATAATATTGTATGTTAACTATATTTTTAATAATAATCTTTAAAAACAGACCCTCTCTCAGACACCTATGTGGCTGGCTCCCTTAGCTCCTCAGGCCCTGCATTCATCTCTCTGATTAGAGGCCTTCCAGGGTCACTCAGTAAATCATAATTGCTCCTGCTCCCTGGAAACCCCCTTTCTCTCTTAACCTGTTCTACTGTTCTCCAGATATTTCTTCCCACCTGGCAGACTATGTATTTTGTTTATTTCTTTTATCATTTGTCTCCGTTCACTAAAATGTAAGCTCTATGAGGGATTTTGTTATTGTTCAATGCTGGATTCCCAGTTCCTGAAATACCTTCTTGCACATAGCTGGTGCTCAATAAAATGTGCTGAACAATTGAATGAAGATATTATAACTAAAGCTCCATTAAGCTTCATGTTTTCTGCCCCTCCCCATACAACTACGAATGTGGTCATCCTTCTAGATCACAGGCATGATGAGCACATCACTCCTTTATTTTAAAACCTTCAATAGCAAATGAAGAAATAAATAATTTAGGGGGAATCCCTGTGTAAGATAAAGCCTGAATTCCTTAAACTGGTTTACAATGCTTTTGATGATCTGCCTGGGCAGAAATCTCCAGATTGATTTCCCACTAGTTTACCCTTCACGTGCTAGAAACATGAATTTTAGAACTAAATTACTAGGTTCTATAACATGCTTGTGCTTCTCTCCTCTTTTGTAGAATGGCGATAATAGCACCCACCTCGTCGACTGTGTTTTGAGAAATAAGTATGTTATTGTGTATAAAGTGCTTACAGGAAAAAAAGAAAAACAGCTAGATAACCGTCCCTAAGAATTTCCCAGAGAGAAATGAAAACATATTTTCACAGAAAGACTGGCATGAAACGTTCACAACAGCTTTATTCAGGATAGCCCCAAACTGGAAAGAGCCCAGATGGCCATCAGCAGGAGAGCAGATAAGCAATCTGTGGTATATCCACACAATGACATATTACAGAGCAACGAAAAGGAATGGACTACTGATACCTGCAACAACACGGATGAATTCCAAGGACATTATGTGCTACACAAAAAGAAACATACTGCATTGATTAAAAAATTCTGGAAGAGAAAAATATCATCAGTGGTGGAAGAAAATGCCTCTGGGAAAATAGGGTGCAGACTGACCAAGGAGAGGCCTGAGGGAACTTTTTGGGACAATGGTGATATTCTGTACACAGGTGTAAAGCATTTGCCAAATTTCAGAGGATGTACACTTATAATTTGTGCATTTCATTTTACATACATTTTATATTGAAAGCATATAAATAAATATTAAATTCTAATTCATAATATGTATGCTTAACTATTTAGAAGGGATTGTGCTGCCTGCAATTAACATGTAATATATCAAAACCATACAATGATATCTGCAATTTACTTTGAAATGCATCAAAAACATAGGATGATTAGTTGGTGAATAGAGGAGTGGGAAAATTAATAGACAAGTGATAAAAAAAAAAACACCAAAAAAACTAGTTAAATGTTAATGCTGGGGTTGAGGTGGAAGCTCACCTAAAAATGCCTTCAAACTGGCTGTATCTGAACATTTTCAGAATCAAGTGTTGAGGGAAATGTACAAAAGATGTCTAACAAAAATATTAATTTAGGTTATCATTTTGCAAAATGATTTCACACTTGTGTGTTTTTCATAAAAGTAAACTGAAGCAAGTTTCCTTTAGTTCTTTGAAATTCGGTATCATATATTGCCTGACAATTATTGACAGATTTATC